GTGATCTTAAATAAAGTCTGCAACCTTGCTATGCACAGGAGCAGGGAGAAGTTCTTTCTGGATAAATCAGGCATTTGGTCATAGGGCAGCATTTAGCTCTCTCACCATCTCAAGCAAAGACAAAACTGTCATTTTGTTCTCTAAATGCAAACAGCAGCACATTGTCCTACAATGCTGGTGAGTTTTTCATCTTTATAGTAAGTCAAGTATTTTCTTCCCTGCTTGAAAAGTAGAAGCAAAATGCAGGCAACCAACAGCACCAAGATTTAGCACCAGTCCCTCACCCCGAGCTGAGGTCTGGGCTGCCCATCTTCCCAAAACAGAAGAATAATCCTAACAAGTGCACAAGAACACCACAGGTTGATGTCCAGAGTCCCTGGGATCACATATGTGTGTTTTATTTCAGTCATTATTTTTAAATAAAGGGGGAAACTCATAGCTCCAATTGCAGGATCAGCCCTGGCTGCAAGGTTTAAAGAACAAAGGGTATCTGGATCTTCCCGGGCACTCCATGGAAAGACCATAACTGCTGCAGGAAAGGAAGGGCATCACAGCACCCCTACCAAGGCACAAGAGCCACCCACCCACCCCCATCTCAGTGGGACATGCTCCCAGGGAGGAACTGCAGCCTGTCACACTGGTGCAAGATGTTCGTACACCCGACAGCTTCATCCACACTAAGAACTACAACAGTTTAGGAAGAAGTAAAATGCCCCACCCCTAACCAACACTGTCCCATGTGTACGGACTGGCCGGTTACAGTTTGCAAAGAGATGATTTTCCCTTGCTCATTCATTGACAAGGAATGAAAGCCAGCAAAAAGCCCCCACCCATCCCAAACTGAGCCTGGGAAGGATTTGGGAGATCTCAAGCCCAAGATCCTACGCAGAACTAGGCTGACCCCGATAAAAGAATGGGTCCCACAGGGCCTTGCACAGCCCAGTTTTGCCCATCTCCGAGGATGGAGACACCCCCCCTCCCCACCCCACACCCAGGGCAAGAGGTTTTCCCTTGAGCCCCATGGCCCTTGCCTTCAGTGCAGCTTCTGCCTGTCCCTCCACCTCCCTTCTCCTGCAGGAAGAAGTCCAATCCCCAATTCCCTTCGCAAGCCTCGTGCCCCAGCACCCTGCCCGTGGCACGCCAAGCCCAAAACCGCATCCCACTGTCCGTATGGGTGTCATCCTGCTGTGCTGGGGGCCAGCAGGAGCTTTAACCCTGGTCTCGGTGAGCTGAGCAGGGGCTCCTCATCCATCATCCCCACCCAGGAGATGCAGGTTAGGTGATTAGTGTTACAATCGCAACTGAGCTTGAAGTAAAGAAGAGTTGGGGGAAGTGAGAAAGGGCTGGGCACAAGCAGGCTGTCCCAGCACATTCCCTTCTGCCTCATTCCCTGGAAGCAAGGATCACCCATCCCTGCAGTGGTGGCAGAACAGCCCGACTCCAGACATGCCCATCTCCCACTCAAGCGCCACACATGCAGATGCTCCAAGCGTCCATGATATTATGGAACTTTCTGAACTGCCAGGATGAAGAGCGATGCCCCATGCAATGCGTGAGGCCTCTGAAATGAGGCACAGGTTGTTTTGTTGCCTTCCCCCTATTCTTATTTCTTTAATCCATGACATGCACACGTTTCCTGCGCCCCAGTTGCCCCGCACCTGCCTCTTCTGGCCTGTCAGCCACCCCTCCAGCCCCCTGAGCCCAGCCTGCCCCAGCCAGGGAGAAGCTGAGCATCTCAGCCCAGGCTGTAGCCCAGCACGGCCCAGCTGCAGCCAGTGCACACCTCCGGCACCAAACTCCCTTCAGCTATTAGTGGCGAGATGGGAAACGCTCCTATTTTATTCTAGGGAGTGGGGGAGGGAAGAAAAGGGAACACTGTAGAACAAAATTAAGAGAAGAATAGAAGAAAAAATTTGGCAATGCTGTGTAACATTCCTGGAAGGGTTTAAATCCCTGCCCCGTGTCTTCAATGGATGGGCACCAGCAACAGTGCAAGAAGCTTTTTAGCCCCACAAAAAACTGCACTGTAGCCACGGATAGTCTTTTGTAATTATCCTGTAATAACCAAGCTGCTATTTTAAAGTTTAAAGCACATGAAGATCCCTGCATTCCCAGGAGGTAGGAAAGCATTAGCCCCATTTAACAGCTACTGGGAAAGCTGTTTAGGGTACAGGGTGCCAGCCAAGGCCACCCAGAGAGCATGGTGGGGACCAGGCAAGCCCCAAGGGACAGGGCAGCCCCATTCTCGCCCCACAGCACGGTAAGGCAGGGGAGCTGGGGGTGCTGCCCCCGCCTGTCAGAGCGACAGTGAAATGCTTGCTTTGGCAGCTGAAGGCAAAGTTTCCAAGCCAAGCCACGAGAAGAGAGGATAGACTCAAGCCTTTGGCAATGTTTTAATGTTCTTATCATTAAGAAGTTTGTTGATACGCTTGGCTACACGGACATTTTCTTTAGCATAAGTTGCTTTAGCATAAGCTAGTATAAGTTCTGGGTAAATACAGCTAACGGTAAGCAGAGAGCATCTGCTCAGTGCTTTACATCGTCTGAAGCTCAGCATCATAACCCACTTTTTACCGGTGGGGAAGACTGGGAGACAGAAAAATCAAAGGAGCAGAGGCAGGAGGAGACCTGTTGAGTACCACTGGACTGCACAGCAGGACCCAAATCCATGGCTGTGGGTCTGACACCTGGATGACCCCCAAAGCCCCGATTTCAGCCCAAGATCTCCAGAGATGGCTTTAGTTTGTGGCTGCATGCAAAGTTGGGGGGGGGCTAATTGCTGCTCTGCAGCAATGATCCTGTCTCAGTCCCCACATGCCCACACTGGGAATGAGCTCCCATGAGCTGGGAATAACAGCTGCTCCCCTGAGAGCCTCAGGGCACCAAAAAGCACCCTGGACACAGACAGGCACTATCCTAAGGCTCCTTTTCACCAAGCCCATCCTTGCCTGGATGAACTCTGTTGCTAAAGCTCAACTAAACTTTTCAGCCTTCCCACTGCATTTTATAGTACTACCACTCCAAACCAAAGGAATCCTGAAGTGATGGTCCTAACATCAGTCACTGAGCTGCCACTGGAGAGCTTTTGATACTCCTGTCAAAGCAGTGACAAATTGCACTGCTTCTGCATCCATCACAGCAGCAAACCCAGGCTGTTTCTGCAGGGACTGAGCTCCTGTGGTCCTGCTCTGCTGCTCCAGCAGTAGGTCAAGCAGGCAGGGCCGTGTCTGGGAGTTGCTGGACGCATGTTCCTGCCAACACAAGTGAGGAAGACTGTGGGTGGCAGTCACAGAGTGGGTAAAAAGGGGCCAGGACCAACTTCTGCTGCATCAGAACTCAGAGGAAGGGGCCTGGGGAATCAGAGCCGGATGTCAAGAGAAGGCAAAAGGAAGAGGCTTCTTTATGGCTGTGACTGGGAAGCTAGGACAGGCTGAGAGCAATGCAAAGCTGACAGCCATCAGCATGGACTTGCCAACACCCCTACTAAGGAGGGCAGTGAGTCCTCCTCTTGCTTAAATGATCTCTTGCCTTTCTGTTCCCAAACCTCTGGCCCTTTCCTCCAAATTAACCCCAACAGAAAGCTTAGACCTGTATCATCCTACCCCCACTTACCTTCTAGCTTCCAAAAGCAGATAGAAATCATGCAATGGGGTCTGCATTGAGTACAGGGCTATTATGAGTCAAGAATACCAATAAATAGGGATTGACTACATTCAAAAATATATTTCCTACCTTGCTTTGTGGGTTCTGTTCCCTTGAGGGCTGGTCATGGTGACAGTGGCATTTGAAAACGGCGTCTCCGCTGACGCGTTGATGGCTTTGCCGTTGCTCAGCTCCATGTAAGTGCTATTAATGGTGTAGGTCACAACGCCATCACTGTCCTCGTAGTCAACATAGAGGCTGTCAATGTGTGACCCCACGGAGTTGATTGGGTCTCCCTGGGCAAAGATGCTGTTCATGGTCATGTTGAGCACCAGCTCCTTGGAGTCCAAGGTCTTGTCCAGCAGCTTGTCTGTGATAGCGTTCTCCGAAAGGAACTCTCTGGAGGCGAACCTGGGGTCGAAGTCTCTGTTCTCATGGTCTGTCTGGTAAGTAGACCTGGTTACGTTTGAATCTAGATTGGAGCCAACAGGGGGAAACAACAGTGACGACCACAAAATGCATTCAGGCTGGGAGGCAAAAGCAGCCCGGAGCAGCAGGGGCATGCCGGAGCTTGAGCAGCCACCCGGGAGGCTAGAGGCAGGAGTTGGGGTCTTGGGAGGGGGAATCTCATGGGGTTGTACCCCTTCGGGAAGGGTGTGCAGCTTTGCAGGTTTCATCCTGCTACCGTATGGCCAGGAGGGCTCAGCACCTGCCAGCACTGCCCCAAGCAACAGCAGCGGTTAGAAAGGAAGATGCCCTCCCAGCCCCAGAGCCCATGCAGCCATGCTGGGAAAGCACTCAAGGCAGTTTGGGGCTGGGATTGCCCAAGGGACTGGAATGGGAAGGAGGTTGCTGGGGGCTGGGAAGAGGTGGGAGGTGATGGAAGATGTTGTGACAGGGACTTCTGTGCACCCAGGACTCCCTCCTGTCCTTGGCATGAGGCAAAGCACGGCAGGGCACCGGCAGGGAGACCTTACCCATGGCCACCCCCCACCCGCTAGAAACCAGAACCTGAAGGGCAAAGAGGATTTATGAGCAGAGATGTTTTAAAGAACTTTCCAAGGTTTCCAAAAAACAAACCAGCAGAATCACCAGAGGTAGAAAACAGAGCGTTTCTCAACAAGAGCTCTGAGAAGCAGAACAGTGAGGCCCAAGTCTCCTCCTTACCTTGGGGTTGTTTGCCCTTCAGTTTTGGCTCACAGTCAATTGTTTCTGCTCTTTCATAGACCTCATTGGTTTCCTGACCTTTGCTCAAGTTTAAATCTTCCTCCGTGTCCGGTCTTCCAAACACCTGGTTCTCCAAGTCTATCCTTTCCCTGGAGATTTTCCCAAAATAGGTTGCATTGTGCTGGATAAAACCCAATGGCACGTCTCCATCAAACTCTCTGCTTTCTTCACTATCTGACTCAGAGAAGGTGTAGTAGATGGGCTGCAGATTTTTTGAGTGTGGCTTCCTGAGAAGGGTGTATTCAAATGTGATGGATGGATTCTTGCCATTTTGATTCCAAACCTAGCAAACAAATTAAATTATTAGCGGATGCAGTGAGTATATGGCACGCAAAGCTTGTGATTCATCTTGGATTTGACAGTTGGTGAGCATCTACTTCGCCATCTGTTTTCCATCGTATTGCCAACTTCCTACAACTGGAGCACAGCACAATTTTCCAAGGGTTATTTGGCAGTGCTGCCCAGGGGATTAGCCCCAGCTCAGGAACTGGGAGCCGCAGGTCATGCTTCCTACTCTGTCGTTGAGCAACCAGCGACTTGGGAGAGACGCTTCAGAAGTTACTGAGCATTTTTTGTGGTTCTATGGTGAATGAGGAACATGCACACACACCCCTTCAGCTACTACAGACCCACTGGGGATGGGGACTCACAGCTGACACACCACAACATCTTTTAATGGTCCAGTGCCATCCCTTCCCCTTCCACAGGAGCCCAGGCCTACATGGAAGATGGCAGGAGTTGGGCTCTGGCAGGCTGTCCAAAAGATGAAGAAATTAATTTATTTGCCTGGTTTTAGATTGTTTCCTTTCCAGACAGAGTTAGGGTCTAATTTTTGTGCACTTCTCTAAGCTATCTGGCCCAATTTCTTATTTTTACTTTTCCTGCCAGGTAACTTGGCTAAAAATGCGAGGAATTAAAAGAGAAATCCCCCCATGCAGTGCCTGGGGCATCTTCTCCCTGCAGAGAGAGGTTACCAAGCCCACGTTCATTATTCACAGCCCTGCCTGCAGAGAGCCCTGACGCAAATCAAATAGGTTCGTGCAAGGCATTGGGCACAGTCACTGCTCCCACTCCCCTCCTCAAGCTGCCAAGGAAAGCTGCAAAACGCTTCTCTCACGCCTACCCCTTCCTCCGGCCAATACAGACTTTTCCCTTCCCCAGCACCCTCAGCCTTGCAAACGTGAAAAGTCAAAGCACACCATTATATTCAAGCCTTGATTCGTCGGTCCTTGTGCAACAATATACTCTATGCCGGTCTCGTACACGTCCATGGGCCTGCGGTACTTGAACACCGTGCCTGCAATGTTGAAGTTCTTTGGACTGTCAACTTTGTAGTTCCCGTTGAAGAAATAGTACCCAGCTTCATCAGCCACAGCTTCAAACGAGAGAGAAACATCAGTGCCATCACACGTAAGAGCAGAAGTATGCAATATTGACGCATGTTCATGCGGGGGAGAAAATTGTTAGTGTCACAGTAATACAAGTGTTTCTCCTACGTGACAATGCATTTGTCACTTGTCTGCATCACATATCGGGTAAGTATGTGCCCAGAGTTGTAGGCCATGCATCCTCTACATCGCAAGCTCCAGGTATGTGGCTTACGCTAGTCCATGGCTCCGCTCACCCTTTTGGCACCAGCACAGCGTGAACATTTAACAATCCCAGCTCCGCAGACACAAAGAGGGCTGTCAGATAGCCAACAGCAGGTTGTTCCTTGGGAGCACGGAGCTGATGCCATCTCACCCAGCAGTGGCCCAAGACAGGTCATCCAGAGCCGGCCCAGGAACTGTGCTAAATCAAGCCCTTTTTGTTCAAACCTTCCTGCACATGGCCATGAGCCTCTGAGCCAGCAGCATGACGGTGACACGTGGGCTTCTCTTGGGCAAGCCCAGATTTTTCCATACTCCTGAGCAGCTCTGCCACTTCCATCACGGGATGGATGGTGTGGCCACCAACGCCTCAGCGAGGCAATACCTAGGTCACATCTCCTTGGTGCTGTTTTCACGGGGCCACTGCACGTTGCCCAAGCGGGCAGAGATGGAGGGGATCACAGGAGAGGTGAAGTCACTTGGCTACCTGTGACCCGGCACCAGTGTTTGGCACTGAAGTAGCAGTAAGACTGACAAACAGCTTCTGCATTAAAGCTGTCAAAGTGCTGATATACACAGCCCAGGTGCTCACACTGCGGAGAGGAGACACTGGCTGTGACAACGCGGTTGTGATTTACACTGACTCTGGATTTAGCTCATGTCTGCAATAAAACCCCATTCAGCTTCGCATTGGAAAAAGCATTAGCCGGCACAGGCATGCAATCTAGGGAAGTACCAAGAGGTTATACACACCCAGAACATCTGCAGATTTTTTCCGTTCCACTATCTGGATATCCCTTGCTCCAGCGGGAATGTGCGTTACCAGAGAATAGCCTATGGGAAACTACAGATTAATGAAAGGAACTTGTAACAAATAATCTGAATGACACACTCCATAGTCAATACCGCAGTGTATCAAGCAAATGGCCTTGAGCCAGAATTATTTAAGGAGTTATGGATTAAAAAAGCTGATGTTGATAACTGTTAGGCTGCAAACAGCACCTTATCAATAATAGAAAATAAACGTGTGAACCCTGCATCCTGGTTTATAGTGGAAAAACACAACAAAGGAGGAGGAAAGGATGCAATCCTTACATGCAAATATACCATGTTTATCTTAGCTGGTGTAAAGGAAGATATCTGAAGACTGCTTTGTTAGCCAGAGAAGCTGTCCTGTGGTTCAGCATTGCACCCTGTGCTAGCCAGTCCTCCCAAAACCCCAGTGAGAGATTACAACTTGTTTCTCCTCCAAGCCCCCTTGGCTCAGCAATAGGTAAGAGATGGGACAAGTTCTCCTAAGGCCAAAGGTCCTGCACTTGCTCCATCTTAAACTGATCCTCAGAGAGCATTAAATCACTGCTCCCGAGTTAGATCGCTATATTTAGGACAAGTAGGTCCTGTTGCTTTACCTCACACTAATTTTGGAAATCCTGGTCTTTCAAAAACATCCCCACTTCCTGTTATTACAAATCGTTTATTTCTAGTCTTACTGGGTCATGAGAAAGACTACTAAAATAGATGCCAGCCTCTTGCACCACGCAGCGTCATAGACCTCAGGCTTCTGACGAGCACCATGCAAAGTTACTGGTTTGCTTTAAGGAAGGCTTATTACATTAATACACATGGGAAAAACTGAAGCAGGGCAGTTGGCGAGAGCTGAAAGCACTTTTGAAAAATAGCCCTCGGACACAAATAAAGCAAAAGGTCCCCAAAAGCCTTACCAAGATGAGAATTTCCTTTCCGGTAACTGCCGGTCACGTGAGTGCAGCTGCTCCCATCTCCTTGGCAAACTCCACATTTATCCAAGGTGTGGGTGGAAAAGAGAATGCCATCACATCCAATCGGCTACAAAACGCACAAACAGAGTGCTGAGGGTCAGGCAAATGTCGCACCCAGCGTAGTTTTCTGAATGCTACTAACAATATTTTTGCTATAATGTTTAACAACCTCACATTTTCCAGACACGCAAACCCCTCGGAAATCAGTGTATTTGCAGGATGTTCCATCCCGAGCCTGAACCATTAACTGTCTCTGACCATCCACAGTGGTGCAATGGAGGTCACAGGGCTTGCTAGAAATGTGAACATAGTCATCTAAGGGGAAAGGATATAAAGATATATTCAAAACAGCAGAAACATAATAACTTTCATCCTACCAATGTCAGTGAAACTCTGCCAAGCTAAACAACAGCAGCAACAGCATAATTGCACAGCAGCCAGCAGTTCAGAAGCTACCATCTCTTGTGTTCCAGGCTGGACAGGAGATCGCGCTTCTGACAGCGGGACAGCCCGCTGCTGCAACCCTTTGCACAGCCAGGCAGTCCTCTCTGCCACCCGGAGCAGATGCAGGCAGTGATGCCAGCAGCATGGCTAACGTCAGCCCAGGGGATGCACCGCAGCAGCAGCCGCTGTGTTGTGCAAGGACTTGCAGCAGGGATACAAGTACACAAAAACGTAGGCAGGTTCACATATCAACATCTAATACATGAGTTAAATTAACACAGATATAAATACATATACAATTAAGAATGCATTCAAAACCACAGCAGCTTAAAACATAAGAACTTTTCCATAAACATTCACCCAAGTTGGACTTAATTCGCCCTTTGCTTTCTGCAGGCAGCCAGCTGGCTGCATCCACTGGCACAGTAGTCCCACATTTTATAACATCCACAGGAAGCAAATGACAAATTCATGTTTGCATCAGAAACCCAAGGCTAAAAGTGTTGAACTCCGCCAACTAGCGAGCGGTCATATACCCACTGGCCCGCGTGCCCATCACTGTCAAAACATTATTCTGCAAATCCCCCAGGAGCCACGTGAACGCCTGCTAAAAAACAAAACAATTCACTGTAACTATTCCGGTGAATCATCTTGAAGAACAAATATATGTTTAAAGAAATTTGTCACCTTGCCGTAGGAAAGGGACAACAGCAGCCAAGTCGCTAACCAGCCTGCCATAGGCCAGCTCTTACCACGCTGACCCTGCCAAGGCGGCTGGCGAGAGAGGGGCTTGTTTCACATCAAAGGAGGCAACAAGTGATTTCATGAAGTATAACTGTTCTTAGGTATGTACAGAGACCCCAAAAATAAGACAGTTGCATTAGATCCCACCTCTGTTTTTAGACACCCAAACGGCACTGTGAATCCAAAGAACCAGCACTCAGGAGCTTCCTCCACAGGAGGAAGGTCCTGGGTTCCCAATAGCTCTAAAGATTGGCCACGATTTTTGTTTAATGCTTGATTTTGATGGTTGTTAGGTGCCTAAAGATTAAAGAAAGTCTCAGTCTCCGACTCCCAAGTTATTTCTGCAGTTCTGTCACTCACCCTGGGTGACCAAACCGATTAACTGCGCCGTGGTGACATTTGACAGAGCACATGGAAGGTGTGGGAGTGAGCAAATGTCACCGAATCCCAACGCAGCCAGTAATGGCCCCAGCTCAAAGGACACTTGTTTGGGTGAGCCAAACTCTCCCTGCCAGCACAGTCCATCACCCCATGCTCTCGCATCCTCCTCCAGCCTTTCAGCTCTCTGGTCCTCAGGAGTTGTGACCAACACAGGCTACAGCCATAAATTCATGTTATTTTATTTTTAAGCTACCCTGCAGCTGCAAAACACACCTCTGAACTCAGGAGACAACTGATGGTGTCTCTGAAAAATCACTTTAGAACAGCAGAGGAGCCGCCTTCCTGCAGGCCATAGCATCATAACTATCAAAATATTTTGGCTGAGCATTATGAAACACACAAAGAATGTCTTGTTACCAGGATATAAAGGTTTCCATTGATACGTTCTGCCGTTATACACGTGGGAATTAAATGATGAACACTGCTCCTCTCGAAAGCTCCTTCCGTTCGCAGGGCACTCCTAGAACGGGATACATTAATATCCTGATGAAGACAAAGCACAGGAAAGCTTTCTGGCACATCTCGACCGGCTGCAAGGAGCGTTTCCATTGCCTGCTCTGTCCAGAGCCACATCCTCCTCCCACTGCAAGGATGGCCAGGGAACAACCACCCCCTGAGAGATGTTATAAGAACCACCCGCTGGGTTTTATGGCCCCCAGTACAAGCAAAAGGCTCAAAGCCCTGACACAATGGTGATGGGCACCAAAGGAGGGAACTCTGTTTGCTTGGAGGAGCAACAGAGTGACAGCTATGAAAAAGGCTCCCTCTCTGAGGGGCCCAGGAATGCATCACACAAAGCAAGCATGACTTTCCACGGTTTGTACCGCGTGTTCCCAGTGAGAAAAAGGATATCCTTACTTGTACTTTGCAGAGCTGGTATCTTTTGGATGTTCCAGTGCAAGTTTTATTAGCCAGCCCACTCACTGACTTTCTTCTGAATAAAGAAATGATGGTTAGACGGGGGTCAAAGCCTCCAATTCCCTTCTTTTAAAATACAATTGTCCGCTGCAGAATAAGATCCTCCCCCATGCAGCAGAGCCACACAGAGATCTAGCAATGGTCTCCCTGGAGTGGATAGCAAAGGTCTCTCTGGCTTTGTTACCTGCAGCAGGAACTATTTGTATTGTAGCACCCTAGGAGGTATCATGGGGACAAGGTTTGCAAGGTGCCTTCTGGCAACCACACAGCACAGAGAGGGCACAGCCACGCAGAGAGCAGCCAGGATCAGTCCCCAACCAACCCTGCACCACCGTCCTTGTTTGTGTCCAGAAGCCTCAAGAATTGGCTTATGCTACATCTGCTGCCCGGCTGCACTAATCCCTGAAGGAGAAACCTCAGGGCCAGCACAGGAATAGCTTGGCTGGTCCTCCCAGCAGGGATTCCCAGGGCACAGCATCCTCACGGCAGCACGCTTGGGGCACACTTACCTTCTGCACAAGCAAGGTTTGCCAGGCAACACCCTCTCACCAGTGCTTATCTGCTGAGTGACTGCCTTCTGGATCACGTCTACCTCCAGCAAGCTGGAAGTCCCCAAACCCTGGCAGGTGGGTGCCGTACCTCTGCCGCAGGCAGTGCCTCTCCTGCGACTTGACGCCTCCACCGCAGGTCCGGGTACAAGCCGTCCACTTGGTCCACTCGCCCCACCAGTACGCAGTGACGTCTGCCCCTTCCTCCAGGCTGTTGGAGGTCTGTGTCAGGTCCTGCTTGAAGCATCAGGGGAGACAAGCAGCAGTCAGCATTCACACCACAGAGCCTCTCAAGGGGACCGAGTGCATCCCCTGCCCGAGCAAACAGGGAATTTCCTTTTCCATCTGAAGTCAAGTCTGAGATTTCCATCTTGCAAGAAACCCTACATTTCTCCAATTGTGTTTTCATAACAAATTGGAATGAAATGGTAATATTTGGGATTCCTCGGGCGAGGAAGCGTTCATTGTTTCGCTCAGTTGGCAAAACCGAGCTCCCAAACAACCCTCAACCCCCCAAGCCTTTTGGTGCCCTCCGACTCTTGCTCCACAATGAATTCAAGGAGCTGAAGAACTCGTTGCAGCCAAAAGCTTCGCTGGAAGCTTAAGCAAACCCTTGCAAACCACTCTGCAGCAGGACAGCATGCCAGTTGATGCCAGCAGGCTGGAGAAGGCCTAGTGGCATTTGAAAATGGAGCACGTGATTTGTCACTTCAGGAGGGCCCTTTTCACCCCCAGCCAGCACAGGCAGCAGGGTGACCATACACCACAGGCAGAGGAGCTGCCCCACCAGCAGCGTCACCGACACATCTGTGCTGGGTGAGGCATTCACATCCCTTCCCAAGGGGCACAGAACCTCCTAGTGGGGTCCCAGCTATTGGTCATATCTGGGAGGGATGTATTTTTCCATTCAGAATCACCTGCTGGTCAGGGGGTTCTATTAATACTGTGTTTCTTGGGAAAGGGAGAATACTGTTCCATGCAAAATAAATGAAAGTTCCAACCACTGAGCAACAAGGAGACCGTTCTCACCCAAGAGCAGGGCATGGCCCTTCAGAGCCTTGGAAGTGATCCATGCACGCTCTTTGCCATGGATGGTACAACTTAGGTTAAGCCCAAACTAAGGAGCTAAGCCAAGTCATGCATCCTCACACTTGCTGGAGACCCAGCACATGCACAGACCAGTCCTGCAAGTCCCAGGGTTTACCCACCCCAGACACCCCCGTGACAAGCTCCGTGCCATCTGAAAGCCCAGAGACCTCCCCAGCAAGGCAACAACCTCACCTGAGCTATCACGAAGACAACGTTGCCCACGAGGAGAAGGGCCAGAGTGCCTTTCAGCTGGGATCGCGCACCGATGGAGATGCTGCTCCACCTCCACTTAGCTATCTTCATCCTAGAAAAGAACCAAACATGGCACTAAGCACAACTCCCATCCAGCCCCATTGTCCGTCGAGAGCGGGGGCTGCCGTGCAGCCTGGGTCACACAGCCCACGTCGTCTTCAGCGCTCCCGGTCAGCTAAGGGACACCGGCCACCAGTGACCGTGAGCGCTTGATCCTGAAGTTATAATTAGTGGAAGCATTAACATGGTACAGGTTTGCATCCCATCACGGTTGCTCTCTCCTGAACAAGGACTCTGGACTGGTTCCCAGTGGCTTGCACCTGATCCCACCAGTGCGAGCTGAGGCTCCAAGCCCGCCTCGGAGGAGAGCGTGGCTGACGCGGAAGCAAAGCGTTGCGCGAGAGGCAGCGAGTACCAAGAAGTGTCCTGAATCTATAAAAGCAGGGCATTTGAATATCCCCATTTACAAAACTGCTCCTAGAAGAATGAAATGAAAGCCTTCATTTAAAAAAAAAAATGCAATTAACAGCCATTATTTTTCCTTTTTTCATTTGTTCCACTCCAATTCCCACCGATTCCCAGGGAAGAAGCCTGTTCTTATAGAAAAGAAACCACCCACAGTTAAAGAGCAGAAATGAAGTATCCCAAGTGTCAGCCTTTCATCTCTTTCACCATCTGCCTCATGAAAGAGAGTAACCCCGAATGGCATTTTCTTAAATAAAACCCAGCTCAAAACCACAATACATGTTATTGTGAACCTCACTGCAAGAGCCAGAAAGGAGCAGGTTTCAGGAAATCATGCTTCCAGGCAATCAAAACAGCTCATGTCTGTAACAAAAAGAAAAACCATATTCTCCCCTAAGCTAATTTCCCTTGAAAAGTAACTAGGCAGTTATCTTTGGGAAGTAGGGAGGTGGGAGAGGGGCTGCTCCCGGGGAGCAGGGGCAGGACTGCAGCATAAAGAGCTTCTTTCCTACCCCTTTTTCTGCTGCCAAGGGCTTTTGTGGCAGTTTTGGAAAGGCAGAATTACCAGCACGGCTTTGTATCTGCCTTACAGAGACTACCCCGAGTGCAGCTCCCCAACCCCTCCGCGCGACCGCCCCGGGGCTGAGAGGTCCCGCGCTCC